TTGGATGGTTTTCTTATCTGTAGCCATTATCAATTTTAATCATACTAAATATATGTAAACGGCAAATCTTTAACTGGAGATTGAAGGTGATTTGAATGGATGTGATTCACCATTTGACATAGTTGTTTTAGATATAGACAAATTTAAAAACCATTCTTTACTATTTTGTTTTCCGGTACCATTGTTCTTACTATTATTTCAGCTCTATTTATGTGGCACCACTATATTAGATGGGCTTTTTGACACTTATTTGCTGCATTAATTATTAGTTAATGGGACTAGCTAATGTTGAAAAGGCTCTATTTGCGGCTTAACCTTTGTACTATTTGGAGTCTTTGAAGATCTCTTGTTTTTCACGCCTTGCATAGAATGTCGTTCATATTAAGTTTTTACTGAATAGTTCAAAAATTAGGTTACTTTACATTACTTTTGCCATAATTTTAAATTTGCAGATTATTTATTTGAGTTTATTCAATCAAAGATTTGGTTCGGACTTTTGTACAGGCCAGAATTGTGCGTATATCTCTCTCGTATGCGAGTGATTTTATATAACTTTTGTTGTTCATTCCTTATCCTTTTTTTATCGTCACCATTGCTGCCAGGCTAACTTGCGCCGTTCTCTTATTCGGCTGGCAGAGGCCGCTCGCGAAGCCACTGAACAAGGTGATCAATACGCTGCTGCTCTTGAAGAGGAACTTTATCGGCTCCGCCTGGAAAACGCAGGTCTTCGTGAATTGCTATCCATTTCGGGCAATGAACAACACCTTCGTAGATCTGATGGGTTGAGGGTGTATGCAGAGCCGAGTTCAAATGGAGCTATGGCATTGACCATGACAAATGCTCTTCAGCTCCCACGCCAGATTACTGGCTCGATCACCGCAATGGCGACCACAAATCCAGCTTCATTGCCACTTTCGTCATCATCATCGCCCTGCATCACTCCTGTGCCTTGCAACGTCACATTAGTTGCTAGCCATTCGTCTCCTTTAGCCCCAGACATTGAGTTGATGGGCTCTTCTGATGAGCACAT